ATCTCTCCGTGTCTCTCCCTGTCTCTTCCCGTCTCTCCCCGTCTTTCCGTGTCTCTCCCCGTCTCTCCCCGTCTCTCCCCTGTCTCTCCCTGTCTCTCCCTGTTTCTCCGTGTCTCTCCGTGTCTCTCTTCTCTCTCCCTCCCTCTCCCTCCCTCTCTCTCTCTCTCTCTCTCTCTCTCTCTTTCTCTCCCCATCTCTCTCGTGGGCGCGCGTGCAACGTTTCTATTTCTACTCATCCTTCATGCTTTGCGAAATAGATTGTCTCTTATGGGGCTTTTACGAAACGCTAGGAATATTTATTAGAATCGGGCGTAATAGATTCCCCGGGATAGGCTATCGCGTTTTATGCACGCTTTTATATTACGTCCTCGGCTCAATCGCATTCCATGCATTGAGATACGGCTGTTTAGCCTCGTTCCTTACGGGTGTAACGTCGCCGGAGCTTGCGAAATTATTCCCAGAGCTTTTACATAAGATCACCTAGTCGTGTATACAATTTACCGATGAAATAAATCTCCACTCTAGGTATAAACGCGATTATAATTCACGTTATTATATCACGTGCGACGATTATTATAAACAATACGCGACAACTTGCAACGTACATTATATTAAATCTTAGTTTGTTAGAAAAATGTCGGGACAATGACCGACGTGTGTCCATAATAATTCATTGTTAGAGACGCGAAAGTTTGCTTCACGTTCTTGCATCATCGGTCAACGTCACTTTGCTCCGTCACTCCTGAATTTTGTTCATCCTCTCAAATCTACTGTCCGTTGCGTCACGTACGTATCTGTCCCTTTTTTTCTTACATTTATTCGCGATACGCGAAACTTATCTATTGAAACTGGTCCACGAGAAATGTCTTTCGGATCATCGGTTTATGCGGCAAATCAAGTTACAAAATGTTCGATCTTTTCTCTTTCCTCTCGTACAAGCAGGCGTACACGGAGAGAATTTTTTCTTAAAATTTACCCTGAAAATCGTAGGAGAACATGGCATTTTGATGAATTTTATGAAAGTTTTTTTGAAATTTTACTATTATACATTTTGCAAGTAAAATGTATGATACGATAAAAAACTCATTACACGATTACACGACTTTATCAGAGTTTGTGGAAATTTTACCATGCATTTTACTAGTGAAATATCTATAAAATGTGTGGTAAAGTTTCAAAAATTCTTCAGAACGCCATGTTGTCCCACGATTGCACGATTTTCAGGGTAAACTGTAAAAAAACA